TTTTGCTCATCAGCTTTTGTTAGTGTTGTGTATTTAATGCATGGCCCAAGACAATTCTTCTAATGTGAGGCAGAGAGAAAAAGGTTGAATACCCCTGTATATTCAGATCCTCAGTTTCTTTACTTTCTGTCTGGTTATCTTAGCCATTATTGAAAATGTATGATACAGAATTTCTGTTCAGGACAGTGAAAAATTCCTGAAAATAGATACTGGTGATGGTTACACAACATTGTGAATGTACTGAATTATGCACTTAAAAAAGGTTAAAAAGCCATTGGATGTGAAAAGAGGGAATCAGAACTTGTCTTAAGCTCAAGATTCTATTAAATGGCTATTTGGAAAATGAATCAAAGAGCTGCTAGAAATAAAAAATTACAATTATTGAATTAAAAAAATGAATTTGAGTGAAGGTGGGACACAACTGAAGATAGAATTAATGAACTAGAAGATCTGACAGGATAACCAATAATGAAGCTCCTAGAAATAAATGAAAAATAAAAAAGAATTTGAGACATGCCCTAGAATTAGAATGTCCAAAGTATAACTGAAAGGAATTTCAGGAGGAGTGAATAGAGAAATAAGAAAGATAATATTCACAGAAATGACATTAGGATTTTATAAACTAATGAAAAAATGACCATTCAAATTTAGAATGCTCAATGAAGGATACTAAAGACAAAGATGTTAAAAGCAACTGAGTGAGAAGATTTCCTGCAAGTAATAAAACTGCAAAGTTTGCCATAGCCGTGATAAAGGTCAGACAATAGTAGAGTATGTCTTCATTACACTTTTACAAACCTAGAAATATTGAATAAAATAAACAATTTTGTATGGTAAAAGGTGGAATAAAAATTCTAGGTAAGATAGAAGAGGATAGTTTGAGTTAGTATTTTAAGTTTCTTATACTTTTGGAAAGAGGGAACAGTAAAAGAAACTTAAATGGTACCTATGTTTTATATCAATAAATATTTTACAAGAAATTTTTCAAAATGTGTTCTTTAGAATGTTCTAAAAATTATTAAAATTCTTGGCAGTATATAGGAGAACGACACAATAGCCCTCTAGAAGAATTTAAAACCTAAGTGCAAAAGTAAATAATTAAGTATTATATTATATAGGCTCGGCGCCCATAGCACAGTGGTTACTGTGCTGGCCACATATACCGAGGCTGGTGGGTTCAAACCCAGACCAGGCCGCTAAACAACAGTGACAACTGTAATAAAAAATAACCAGGTGTTGTGGTGGACACCTGTAGTCCCAGCTACTTGGGAGGCTGAGGCAACAAAATTGCTTAAGCCCAAGAGTTTGAGGTTGCTGTGAGCTGTGACATCACGGCACTCTACCAAGGATGACAAAGTGAGAGACTCTGTCTCAAAAAAACAAAGTATTATGTATGAAGAACTTCTTTTTAGCAAAAGACACTGGCAAAAGTAAAAGTGAAAGCATAGAAGCAAAAACCTGAACAAATACTTGAAAAAATTCCTGAACCTAATGATAAGTAAGGACAATTCAAATTAAATAAAATGCTTTTTATACCTATCAGAGTGCAAAAAATAAAAAGTCTGGTAGTGGTAAAGTGTTGGCATAGATAAGGGGGAAATGAGCCCTTCTATTCACTGTTGGTAGAAATACAATCACTTTGGAAAATAGTTAGCTTCATCTGGTAAAATTGAACAGGTACATAACCCTGTGACTTAGCAATTCACTTCTTTGAATAGGGACTTGGCTTGCACAAGAATAGTTTATAGCATCATTGTTGCTTAAGCCAACAAAACAGTAGCAGCAGAGTATTAGAGTAAAAAGCAGCCGGAGGCTCAGCGCCTGTGGCTCAAGTGGCTAAAGTGCCAGCTGCATACACCTGAGCTGGCAGGTTCAAATCCAGCCTGGGCCCGGCAAACAACAATGACAGCTACAACCAAAAAATAGCCAGGCGTTGTGGCGGGTGCCTGTAGTCCCAGTTCCTTGGGAGGTGGAGGCAGGAGACTCGCTTGAGCACAGGAGTTAGAGGTTGCTGTGAGCTGTGATGCTGCGGCACTCTGCCCAGGGTGATAGCTTGAGGCTCTATCTCCCTCCCAAAAAAAAAAAAAAAAAAAGAGCAGCTGGAGGTATTTTGTCTAGAGTCAGATTCTAGCTGTGCCACTTACTAGTTTTGTGACTTTTGGTTAGTTTCTGTTCCTCTCTGTGACTCATTTTCCTCATCTGCAAATACAGTTCCTACCAGATCATATAGGATTTATATGAAGGTTGTTACTATCTTGTAGCCTGTCTTACAGTTGAGTAATATGCAAATGTGCAACAATGTAGATGAATCTAAAAAACATAATGTTGAGTAAAAGAAACAAGTTACAGAAAAAATATATAGGAGACCATATAATTTATGTGGTTCAAAAGCATGTACCACTCAACAATAGCTTGAACTGTTAAAATTTAAGAATGTTTAAACCCTTTGCTGGGAAGAAGAAAGTAGGTGGTTCAGGAAGGGGCACACAGGAGATTGCTTTCCCTTTAAGCTGGGTAGTAGAAAGTGGGTGATTTTCATTTTCTTTAAAAACAATTTTTTTTTTTTTGAGAAAGATCTTGCTCTGTCCCTATGGCTGGAGTGCAGTGGCATCACCATAGCTCTGTATCATCCAACTCCTGGGCTCAAACAATCTTCTTGCCTCAGCCTTCCAAATATCTGGGATGTGTGCCATCGTGCCCAGCTAATTCTTTTTGTTTGTTTGTTTGAGACAATCTTACTACGTTGGCCTTGGCTAGAGTGCAATAGCATTAGCTTAGCTCACTGCACCGTCAGACTCCTGGGCTCAAATAATCCTCCTGCTTTAGCCTCCTGAGTAGTCGGTACTATAGGCATGTGCTACTACATCAGGCTAATTTATTCTATTTTTAATAGAGATAAGGTCTCACTTTTGCTCAGGCTGGTCTCCAATTTCTGATCTTAAGTGATCCTCCCACCTCAGGCTTCCAGAGTGCTTGGATTATAGGCAAGAGCTATTGTACCCAGCCCATTTTCTTTGTGTTTTTGCATTTTATCATGTCATTATTATTAAAGATGGGTCTCTTTGTGTTGCCCGGGTTTATATCAAACCTCTAGGCTCAAGTGCTCCTCCTCCCTCAGCTTCCTAAAGTACTGGGATTACAAGTGTAAGCCACTGCATCTAGCTCCCAAATTATTTTTAATTTGTGTTTATTATGAAATATACATACAAACATTCATAATCCGTAGAAAATGGGGCATGTGCAGTGGCTTGCATCTATAATCCCATCAGTTTGGGAGGATGAGTAGGAGGATTGCTTGAGCTCAAGAGTTTGAGGTTGTAGTGCAGGGGTCCTCAAACTTTTTAAACAGGAGGCCAGTTCACTGTCGATCAGACCGGTGGAGGGCTGGACTGCGGGCCCCGGGATGAGTTGGCTGCTAAGCAGGACAGGCAGTGGCGGCAAAAACACCCAGCGGGCTGCATGTGGCCTGTGGGCCATAGTTTGAGGACGCCTGTTGTAGTGAGTTTGGTTATGCCAGTGTAACTCCAGGCTGGGTGACAGAGCAAGACTGTGTCTTTAAAAAAAGGAAAAAAAAGGGATACGTGAGGCTAAATTAAATACTTTTTTGATGGAGGACTTCTCAGAACATTAATATGATACTTGTGCATTGTGGACTTGCAAGAGAGATATTTTTAGTGACCTTTAGTTGGTCATGGAACCTTTCAGGGCTTAACATATAGAGCAGGACTATTTGCTGATGATCATTGATTTTTAGTTTGAGTTTAGGTGGCTAAATGGGATTCTTTTGCATGCACACACAGATGTTTTATGTAAGTAAGCCCACTACTATTGGACAGTTTATTTTTCTTTTTTGAGACAGAGTCTTATTTCGTCACTCTTGGTAGAGTGCCGTGGTATCATAGCTCACAGCAACCTCAAACTCTTGGGTTCAAGCAATTCTCTTGTCTCAGCCTCCTGAGTAGCTGGACTACAGGTGTCTGCTACAACACCTGGCTCTTTTTTGAGATGGGGGTCTCACGCTTTGCTCAGGCTGGTCTTGAACCTATGAGCTCAGTCAGTCTACCTAGCTTGGCTTCCCATAGTGCTAGGATTACAGACATGAGCCATGGTGCCTGGCCTACTGTTGGACAGTTTAGTAGGATTTTTTTTTCTTCCTAGAGACAGGGTCTGGCCCTGTTGCTAAGGCTGAAGTGCAGTGACTCACTCATAGCTCATTGTAACATCAGATGCTTAGATTCAGGTAATCTTCCCACCTCTGTCTCTTGAGTAGCTGGGACTGCAGGCTGTGTTACCATACCTGGGCTAATTTCTTTTTCTTTGCAGTTTTTTGGCCGGGGCTAGGTTTGAACCTGCCACCTTGGCATATGGGGCTGGCGCCCTACTCCTTTGAGGCACAGGTGCTACCCTCTGGGCTGATTTTTAAAATTTTTTTTAGTGTTGGAGTCTTTGCCATGTTGATCCTGAACTCCTGGCCGCAAGAGATCCTCCTGCCTACACCTCCTAAAGTGGTGGTATCATATGTGTGAGCCACCATTCCTGGCTGAACATTTTTTATTGTTATGAACAACGTTGAATATATATAAATCTATTTATTTTTTATTTTTTTATTTTTTTTTAAGACAGAGCCTCAAGCTATTGCCCTGGGTAAGTGCCGTGGCATCACAGCTCACAGCAACCTCCAACTCCTGGGCTTAAGTGATTCTCTTACCTCAGCCTCCCAAGTAGCTAGGACTACAGGCATCTGCCACAATGCCTGACTATTATTTGGTTGTAGTTGTCATTGTTGTTTGGTAGGCCCGGACTGGATTTGAACCTGTGAGCTCTGGTGTATGTTGCTAGCACCTAGCCGCTTGAGCTACAGGCACCAAGCCGACATTGAATATTTTATTAAATATTTTATTCTATTTTTTATATGATTAAAATTTTCAGTTGTTATCTTTAATTGTGGAAGTGGGCTTTTTTTTTTTTTAAATTGTACTGTTTTATTTCCTTTACTACAGGAAGGAATTGTTGAGAATCTTTTTAAATGGGCCCGAGAGGCTGATCAGCCATTGAGGACATATTCTACTGGACTGTTAGGAGGTGCTATGGAAAATCAAGATATTGCTGCCAACTATAGGGATGAAAATTCACAGCTGGTAAGGACCATATTAGAGTAAATTTTCGCTTAAAATGTGAGAGTATTCACAAATTCTTCCTTGCTACCTGAATATGAATAGGTAGATCCTTTTTATTACCTGGTATTGGAACATAGCTATAATTACAACATTACTTTCTGTAAGAGTTTTTCTTTCTTTTTTTTTTTTTTTTTTTTAGACAGAGCCTCAAGCTGTCATCCTGGGTAGAATGCCGTGGCAGCATAGCTCAGAGCAATCTCCAACTCTTGGGCTTAACCGATTCTCTTGCCTTAGCCTCCAAAGTAGCTGGGACTATAGGCAACTGACACAACGCCCAGCTATTTTTTTGTTGTAGTTATCATTGTTGTTTGGCAGGCCCAGGCTGGATTTGAACCCACCAGCTCTGGCATATGTGGCTGGCGCCCTAGCAGCTTGAGCTATAGGTGCTGAGCCAGAGTTTTACTTTAATAATAGAGTTTTGATACTACTTTTTTTTTAAACTTGGAAATAGCTGTTTTTATTTATTTTTTATTTATTTTTTGAGACAAAGTCTCACTCTGTTGCCCTAGGCTAGAGTGTTATGGTGTTATAACTCACATCAAGCTCAAACTCTTGCACTCAAGCAATCCTGTTGCTTCAGCCTCCCCAGTAGCTGAGTCTATAAGCACATGCCACTATGCCCACCTAGTTTTTTTATTTTTAATAGAGATAGGGTCTCGCTCTTGGTCAGGCTGATCTGGAACTCCTAAAGTCAAGCAATCCACCTGCCTTGGCCTTTCCTCTAGTAGGATTACAGGCGTGAGCCACTGTGCCTGGCCAGAATAGCTGTTTATAATCTTGTCAAGGATTGACATTTTATACCAAATAAAGAATAGTACTATTCCATTTTTCTTTTTTTCTTTTTCTTTCTTTTTTTTGAGACAGAGCCTCAAGCTGTCGCCCTGGGCTGAGTGGCCACAACACCTGGGTATTTTTTTTTTTTTCTCTTTGGTTGTAGCTGTCGTTGTTTGGCAGGCCTGGGCTGGATTAGAACCTGCCAGCTCAGGTATATGTGGCTGCCGCCTTAGCCGCTTGAGCCACAGGTGCCGAGCCACTATTCTGTTTATTTATTTTTATTAAATCATAGCTGTGTACATTAATATAGTCATGGGGTACAATGTGCTGTTTTTATATACAATTTGAAAATTTTTCATCAAACTGGGTACCATAGCCTTCGTGTCACTTTCCTAGTTAATTGTGTTAAGACTTTATATTCTACATTTGGAAAGATTCACATGTACCCTTATTAGATGAATCAGGTGTGATCCCACCAATCACCCTCCCTCCACCCTTCTTTCCCTCTCCCCTCCCCTTCCTCTCCCCTGAGCCACTATTCTATTTCTTTTTTTTTTTTTTTTT